GGAACACCAGCGATTCGAATGCAGACGACACCCTGCACAGCGCTACTGGCACGAATCACGCCCTTGTTCCCATTTTTGATAGTGGGAGATATAACGTGTGTTACTTTTTCATATGGTACCAAAAATGTGTGTCATGTGGGTGGTCGGGGTACGGCCCCCCCCGGGTAGCCCCGGCGGGCCTCCACACGCCCCCTCCGAGTAGTCCGCATTGGCCCCGGCGGGCCTCCCGAGTGGCCCAGGGCGGTCTCAACACTTCCGCCCTGGGGAGCCAAGCGCCCCCGGGGGCGCCGCCGGAGGCGGCGCCAGGGTGTTGAGGCCGCCCCGCACTACTCGGGTGGGATGCTGAGGCCATCTGGGGCTACTCGAGGGGCCGGCCCGTCGAGGCCATCCGGGGCTTCCAGGGGCTTTGTCTGGGTACCTCCTCCTCCTCCTCCTCCTCCTCCTCCTCCTCCTCTTCCTCCTCCTCCTCCTCCTCTTCCTCCTCCTCTCAGATTTCATGGGCACTCTTCTCACTGCACGGCGTTCCCGGCCCCCCACTGGCCGCGCGCGCGCCGGGGCTTCCGGATCTGCCATCCCCTCCTCCATCCCTGGGTACCCTCCAGACACTGGGGACGTTCCAGAAGAGGCCTCGCGCCTTCGAGGATCGAAGGAGTCGGCATCGCCTTCTCGGCGGAAGGCGGCGGAATGGCGGCGGAAGATGGCGGAAGCAAGCCGGCGGCGGCATCGCCACGTAGACATCGCTCGTCGTCGGGCCATCGGTGCTGCGCGGCTCCGCTCCCCGCCCAACGTGAATGCGGCAACTCTCCGCTATGACATTCCTTTGGATTGCTGCGTTTCCTGCGTGTCCTCCTCTTCTTCTTCTTCCTCCGCGTCTATCGTTTCCCAGTGGTCTTCTCCTTCTTTGAAGGTTCAGAAGCCCGGCGCTAGATGGACGCTAGCAGCTCAGCAGTTTGCGCCATCGCACTGAGCCCGCCTGACATCTTCTGGCGATTCGGGTGTTGCACACATTCATGCATCGCACAGTCGGAAGCGGATGCGTCGTTCGTGACAGCGTCGGCTTGCCCCGCAACAGCTGCAAAGCGGGTGCGCATCATGGTTTGAGTATTGCAGTGATGTTGAGATATTTGGTAATCTTTTTGTCCGTTCCGCGCAGTCGCGGCGGCTCTTCCGCCTCCGTCTCGCCAGCCTCCTGCCTGTCACGCGATGGCATCCTGGCTTGTCCGCGGTAGCAGGCTGCCGCTTGCTCCACCGCCCCTTCTTCATCCTCCTCCTCCTCCTCCTCCTCCTCCTCCCGTTCGTTCTTCTGTCTCCCTTCTCCTCTCCACCTTCCCCTTCTCTTGACTCCCCTCCTCTTCGCGCTCCCAACGTCTGCTCCGCCTCCTGCTCCCTCTCCCTGCCCGCCTCCATCTCCCCACTCTCCTGTTCATCCTTCACCACCTCATCCTTCATCCTTCTTCTGCCAATCCTTACAAGTTCCGCTTCGCTCGTTTTCCCTCCTCTCCTCCCCCTCCTTCTCCCTACGCCCCCCCCCTCCCCCCCCCCATCGCGCCTTGGGCGGGCAGGGAGCGCGCTCGCGCGTCCGTCGCCAGCATGAGCGGGAAGATGTGGACGAGGAGGAGGAGGAGGGCAAGCAGTAGTGGGCAGGACAAAGAGGAAAAGGATGCCAAGGGGGGGGGGGGAGTTCGATAAGAGGGACGGGGGGGACACGGAGGTCGAAAGGTGGGAGCAGGGAAACGAACAAGGTGAGGACGGAAGACGGGAGGGGAGAGCGGAGGAGGGGAGGGCAGGAGAGGTGAGATGGGAGAGGAGGCATGGGACGCGCGCCCCCGCCCAATATGACGCCCCGCTCCTCCAACCCATCCCCACCCCCAGTGCGATGACTCATTTTCTGTCTGCGGACTGGGCTGTCCTAGAGGAACTCGATGCCCAAATGGCGGGTGCCGCATCCTACCTCAATCTATTGCTGTGTGGCTTCAAAAGGCAGCGGCTGTTGTACACAGGAGGAAGAGGAGAAGGAGGAGGAGGAAGCAAGCTGGTGGGGTTCGAGGCCCCTCAGCCCACGCATTCGCACCGGCTTAATGAACATCGCATCCCATGGCATTTGGTTTCAGCTGCGAACGGCGGCAAGCTGGTGGCCGAGTAGAGTTCGTCGCGCGTTGATGGCCTTCATGAGTGTGGTGCAGGACAACCCGTGCTGCTGCAACACAGCCCAGCGCGCTGCGGACATAGGGTATGAGCTGACCAGCAGAGATGCGAGTGTGCTGCGCAGGACACAACTACGCAGCAATATCGACATTATTGGATACACGCAGAGGGTTGGCGAGTACCTGTGCGTCCCCTTCGGCTAAAAGACGGGGGTTCACTCTAACAGGCGCTGCGGCATCATCTTCGTGTTGAAGACCAGGTGGCTCAACGAACAGCACTCTAGGAATATCTTCCCTGTACCAGTGGCTCTCAGTGGAAGGTGTGCAGCTATGAGAATTATCCAAGGTGAGCCTAGAGTATTAGTGATCGGAATGCATTCTTCACCGCACCATTCGCGCCAGAACACACGTCCTGGGACTTCAACACCGCGAATCATTTAAACTGCTGCGCCCTGACATTCCCAAATCGTACGGGAGACCCGGGACGTTATCCATACGGGTCCTTGAAATTAGTGAAAGCTGTAAACGAAAGGTTGCGGCACTGAACCGACATTTACATTTTGAAAAAGAGCCGCCCCCCATCGTTGAAGTTGTTCCAACCTGTGAAGACGAACGTGCCCAGCGGTAAATCGAGAACCACGCTGCGAGAATCATTTAGCATATATATATATATATATATATATATATATTTGAAACTGTTGCACAATTTGAGAAATAATGTGCGCGAAGCTAACGCGAGAGCCACGCTTCGAAAACCAACCGCTTCATATCATTGCGAATGTTGCGGTGTTCAAGATTCAGGATCATAAATGGTAAGTTGGGGATGCGACCGGGAAGGGCTATGTGACAATATGTAAGGAACATGAACCAGGAAGGGATCATAATAGAACAACTAGGAGTATAATGAGCAGGATAATCAGATGAGGGCCGCGAATGGTAAAAAAGGGGGGCAACAACGGATAACGAGCCGAATGCAATTCCGAACGACGGGGGCGAGGGACCGCGATGACACAAATCTGCAGCGGGTCTACCATCTTGAAGAACCGAAAACAGTCCCGATCGGGCCAAAAAACAAGAACTGTCATTTGAACTCCTGTGCGCGTGCGTGTCACTTGAAAAGATAGGCGGGAGCACGCTGGTACACTGTCAGGGCATTGGGGAAAGCAGGGTGGGAACGGGGGTACGGGAGAACGCGTGGAGGGAACATGGGGGGCAGGCGAGGCGGGTAAGAGGGGTGTGGGGGCGCGCGCTATCGTGGTCTGCTGGCGCGGCCTGGGTATGAACTGGGCTTTGTGTTTTGCCCAGCCAGGGTGGGATATGCAGCTTGGGACCGTGATTCTGGACCAGGCCGTTCTTGTCATGGGGCGCGGACGGCTGCTGATCTTACCAGCGGCACAGCCAGCGACAGTGGTGAAGGAAGCGGCGAGCGATGCGGTCTTCCGCCGACCTGTGGTGGCAACGGGCGGGGAAGCTCATGGTCAACATGCCCGGGGGGGGGGGGAATGAAGGACACCACAGACACGTTGACTTTGGATGGCGACGCCCTGGCTGCGGCACATTCGGCGGAGCAGCGGAAGAAGGTGCTTCGGAGGTGCCACTGGGGAGGCCGTGCGCCCCGAGCTGAGGGAGCTCGGTCGGAGACCGGTTGCGGCCGCTGCAGGCAGGCTGATCCCAACACTGGGCTTGACATTCGGCGAGCTCCAGTCGGAGGTTCGGCGCTGGACGAGTGGCGGATTAGGGAATGGCCGCATGCGGACGGTGTGCAGGATAACAGGCAAGTGGTCGCTCCAGGTGCTGGGATTAGGTGGGGCCCCCAAGGTAGCTTGCGCGGCGCCGCAAGGCAGTGGACGTCCTTGACGTCCCAGCAGCGTGTGGGGTCACTGCCGAGCTTCATCTGGAGCCTGCGGCGCGCATTTGCGGGCCACGGCGAGGGGTGCGGACGGATGATGGTGGAGTCGCTGTCCTGTGGAGGAGGGGTCCGCAGAGCACATGCGGCATGCGCTATGTGGACCAACCATTGCGGACGCGAAGACCCATGCAAGGCGCCATGACTCAGAGGGGTGCCGCCTTCTTTTCTCTTTCCGCGCGCGAGCGCGGCAATCTCGGGAGGCTTCAGGCTTGATGCCGCGAATCAGGAAGAAGGCAGCAGGGCAGCGGAGTGGCGGAGCTTCCCCAGCTCCCTAATCATTCTCATCGCGCCTCCGTCCTTCGTTTCCCTTGTTTCCCTCGTCCTCCTCCTCCCCCGTCCTTATCCTCGCTCGCTCGTCCTCCTCATCCTCCTTCCCCTTCTGCTCCCGCTATCTTCTCCTCAGCCTTGTCCTGGTCCATTCGACCATCGTCATCATCATCATCATCATCATCATCATCATCATCATCATGACCATCGTCACCATCATCGTCATCGTTCGTCGTCGGCATCGCCCTCGCCGTTGCGACCTTCGTCTTCATCGCCATCGCCATCGCCCTCCTCCTCCTCCTCCTCCTCCTCCTTGTCCGGCACCAGCCCTCCCCATTCCCCGTCCGCCCTCCTCATCCTTCTCCTCCTCGCCCTCCTCCTCCTTTTTCCCCCGACAAGATTTGCTTGCCACTGCGTCCGGTAACCCAACCCGTGGCCAGACACCGCTGGGCCACTTTGTTCCGCCGGGCCACCGGGCCCTCCAGGGTGGTGACACTAGGAAGCTGGCGCCCCACAGCCATGGTACTTCAAGGCCCCCCTCTCCCCGCCGCCGCCTTCCCCCCCCCCCCCCATGCAGTGCCCCTCGCGCTCCCTTTCCCCCCCCACCCCTCCCCCGCCGCTTCCCCCACCCCCTTGGGCGCCCCCCCTTCGGGCCCAGCGCCGCGCGCCCGCCCCGAGAGGTGCTGCCCGCCAGCGTGGCCCTCGACGTGGGCAAGGCTCGCCCCTCCTCGCCCCCCCCCCCCCGCGCGTGGGTCACATTGCAACCAGAGCGGCCACTCTACAACCAGATGGGGCAGTTTACAACCAGCATGGGTTTTCCCAGAAAGGGCACTTTACAACCAACAAGGCCACTTTACAACCAGGCGAGCAAACGCACATGAGCGACCCGTGTTCTTCAATTTCCGAAATCTCCGTGGTTCCACGGAAGGGAGACACTTCGCTTCGCTCTCTGAAGCGCGTTGGTTGTAAAATTGTCCGTCTGAAGCGAGAATATGTGAAGTTGCGGATTCTTAAGTGTATCCAACAGGAATCATATTGGAATCTGGTTTTGGCATCCTTCCTTCTGGGGGCCTGTTGGCACCAGATGAATCTCATTAGTATCCAACAAGATTCCTCGATATGGGGCCCACGGATGTCTTATTGAAATCCGATAGGGAGGTTTCCTATTGAAAGCCGCCGGGGCCCTTCCTAATGGAAACCGGTTGGAAACCCCATTGGATTGCAATCGAGGGGCCTTCCCATTGGAATGCTGCGGGAAACGCACCGGGGGTACTATATGGCAACCCCGGCGGGTATTCTTGTGGGTTCTTCTTCGAAAGAAGTAAGAACAGTATTTCTTGGAATCCTATCAGAACCATATTGGCGAAACGAAGGATACCGCATTGGAATCCAATCGGGATCCTTCTTTTTCGATCCATACGGGCATATTACTGGGATCCCACCAGAACCTCACTGTAACTCAACAAAACAGGTCCTCTTTGACTCATATTGTGCCCCGATTGGCGTCCTACTGTATCCTTGTGGTAACCAAACGGAGCTATTGGAACCCAAGTGAGATCCAGTAGAAATCCTCCCGCTACGGGCAGATGACAGGCCTTGGTTGTTTAATTGTGTTTACATCCATGCCATAAAACTACATCTTTGTTTGGGAACCGCATAACATGTGCCTGGGTTTTGTGTTGGGGGAAATAGAAAACAGTAAGTGTTCGCCGCAAAGGACGCAGAGGAACACGCGCGCGCGCCCAGGAGAGCGGAAACGTGACCAAACTATTCGTTTATACAATTCTAGCCAACACGCGCGGATGTTCTAGTTTTTCGCATCGTAGACTTCTTTTGCCCTCGCGCCGCATCGTCTGGCAATGGCGCAACCGTATGTTGTCGCATTTGCGGAAGCATGCGCGCCCAGGAAAGCGGACATGTCGCCACGATACCATTGTTTTTCTTCTTGCGGATACATGTGGATTTCAAATGGTTGCTTGCTTGCATCAGATACTATGTTTGTCATCGCGCCTCACCGCCTGGCAGTAGCGAGACACTGTATGTGTTCACCATTGCGGATGCATGCGTACCTAGGAGCAGACATGTGGCCAAAACGCCGACGGTCAAGTTCTAGCCGATGCATGTGGATTTCACTGTGTGCGTATGGCTTCACAGGCAACTTTAGTCCTCGCGCCTGTTCTTTGGGCAATAACGAAACCATATGTTGTCGCAGTCGCAGCCGGGTGCGTACCCAGGAGGGCGGCAATGTGGACACGAAACCGATGGTAACACTATAGCCAATACATGTGAATGTTTCATTGCGTCTTTTGTATCAGACCATGCTTGTCATCGCGTCTCATCGCCGGAGGATCACGAAAGCCGTGTGTTTTCGCAATTGCGAGCATGCGTGTCCAGGATGGCGGAAGTGCGGCCAAGAAGTCGATGGCAACATTCGAGCCACTATGTGTGGATGACAATGTGTGGTTTCGTGGCCTCACAGACAACTCTCGCCCTCCCGCTTCATTGCCTTGCAATCGCCAGGCCGCATGTTTTCGCATTCGCGGAAGCACGCGTACCCAGGGGACAGACCTGTGCCCAAGAAATCGTTTGTAGAATTTGAGCCAACGCGTGTTGATGTCAAATTGCGCCTGCTTTTGAAGTATAGGCCATGTTTGTCCTCGCGCCCCTTCGTCTGGCAATCGCAAGCCAGCATGGTTACGCAATTGCGGAAGCATGCGTGCCCAGGATGGCGGAAAGTGCCAGAGAAATCGCTGGTTAAATTCTAGCCAATGCAGGCGGATTCGAATGTGTATCCGTTTGGCCTCGCAAGCAGCTGTTTGGTTTCCCTGCGCAGCGGCTTCGGAGCGCTCAGGCGCTCGAGATCCTTTGGGAGGCGCCCAGGCGCTCAGAAGCATCTGCAGAACGCTCAGGCGCTCAGAAGCCTCTGCAGAGCGCCCAGGCGCCCAGAAGCTTCTGCAGAGCGCTCAGAAGCTTCCGCATAACGCTCAGGCGCTCAGAGGCCTCTGCAGAGCGCTCGGGCGCTCAGAAGCCTTTGCAGGGCGCTCAGGTGTTCATTGGCCCCTGCAGAACGCTCAGGCGCTCAGAAGACTCTGCAGGGCGCTCATGCGCCCAGGTTCCCCTGCAAAGCGTTCGGACACTCAGAAGCGTGAGCAAACCGCTCAGGCGCTCGGATGCACCTGCAGAGCGCTCAGGTGCTCGGAAGCTTCAGAAGCCCATGCAGAGAGCGCGCGCGCGCTTCTGAAAGCTGGTTCTAAAGTGGCCGTTATGGTTGCACAGAGTCCCGTTTGGGTTGTACAATACGTAGCCGCTCTGGTTTTATAGTGGTCTGCTCTGTCTGTTAAGTGGTCGCTTTCAGAGGACAACCGAGGAGCTCGATCCTCTGCTGGTTGTAAAATGACCGATTTCGGTTGTTGTAAAATGCCGTTCGGTTTGTCAAGGGACCGAATCTCCCCCCAAACGGGGGGGCGCTCCCGCCCCCCGGGGGAGTCACTGACTCGTTCGGGTTGGCCAGCAGGCCAGCATCCTCCTCCTCCTCCTCCTCCTCCTCCTCCTCTTCCTCCTCCTCCTCCTGTGCACCGAGGCCTGCCGCCTGCTCGCGAAGGCCGCGGCTCGCCGCAGCGCTTGTGCGGCGCCAACGCCGTCCTGGCGGGAGCGGCTGGAGGTGCTGCGGCGGCGCGTGGCGAGGCGCGAGGCTGGCCTGGCGTGTGGGGCCGCTGGTGGTGCTGGCAGTGCTCCCAGGGCGCAGGCCGAGGAGGCGCTGGCCGACACGGGGTGCTCTGGTGGTGAACGCGCCGTGTCTTGGGCATTGCGGAGGCAGGCGCTGCGCCTGCGGGCTTTGCCGCGCGGCTGCGGCGGCGCGGCATCCGCGTGGCGCGGCCGCTTCCCAGGGCGGCCCTGCCGCCGCGGCCGCCGCGGCCGCTGGCCCTGGAGCGCAGGCTGGACCGCTGGGGGCGGTGGTGGATCGAGCCGTTGCTCGGCGTCGACGGTGCGGCCAGCGATTGGCTCGGCCACTGCGTCCCGTACGCGGAGGCGGTCCTCGCCCAGCCCAGGTGGCGGCGCTTCCTCAGGGCGATGGGCAGCACGGCTCGTCAGCTGGCGGAGGCGTGGTGCCGCCGTGCTTGGGGCCGCGGCGGTGCCTCGCGAGGGTCAGGGCCGCTTCGGCGCGCAGGCGGAGTCGCAGGTGCACAGCGGCGGCGAGGGCAGCGACACGGGCGAGGGCGTTGCCTGAACGCGCCCTGTCGCTGTCCCTGCGCGCGCCCAGCGGCGGCGGCGGCGCGTTGCGCTGGCCGCAGGCCGCATCGCGGGGCTGGCCCGGGGCGCTCGTCGTGATGGCGTCCAGCCAATTCCTCGCCCTCAGCTGAGGTCCCTCCGCGATCTGCTCGGCTCGGGCGGATCCGCGAGGCCGCGCCCTCCTCACCCTCCTCTTCCTCCTCCTCCTCCTCCTCCTCTTCCTCCTCCTCGTCATCCTCCTCCTCCTCCCCCTTCCCCTCCTCCTCGTTCTCCTCCTCCTCCTCTTCCTCCTCCTCCTCCTCCTCCTCTCCCCCTCCTCCTCCTCCTCCTCCTCTTCTTCTTCCTCCTCCTGCTCCTCCTCCTTTTTCTCCTCTTTTTCCTTCTCTTTCTCCTCCCCCAGCCGGAGGGGAGGCTCCTCGATCTTCGACTAGAGCTCGGCCCTGTTGCCGGGGCTTTTTTTCCAGAAGCAACAATGGCGGGAGATAGGCATCGGGGGGTCGCACCGACCCCGATCGCCCAGAGATCGTCGATGAGGGGTCTGATAGCCCCACCCTTCCCAGGATCGTGGGGGTTTGTTATTAGAGGCGTATCGCCGATCTATCGGCGATGTATCGCCGTTTCCAGTTCGATGTTTCCCCCCTTGTGCCAGTACCCCTTATCGCCTTTTTGGGCAGCGTGTCGATTTGCCTGTTCTGGCCCACCTACGCTTCGGCGCCATACGCTATCCACGTCGTGGCCCCGAGGCGTCAACGTCCCGAGCATTTCCCAGCCTGCCGCCGCGGAGCGGAGCCACACACTACGCAGTCGTAAGGCGTAGCGTAGTCGTTGAGCAGAAGTTCCCGACCGTAGTTCAGTCCTAGAGCACGTCAGCAGCTCTGACACAGACGCCAGCTCCAGAGGGTTGGCGGCGAGGGCGCCTCCCGAGTTGTCCAACGGGGCGAAAGCGCCAAAAGACCTACACCCTCGATCGTCGTCGTCGTCAGCGTCGTCGTCGTCGTCGTCGTCGTCGTCGTCGTCGTCGTCGTCGTCGTCGTCGTCATAATCGTCGTCGATCCCCCTCCCTTCTTCCATCTTCCCCAGACCCCAGACTTCGTGATTTCTTGACAGCGTGGGCCCCCAGAGATCTCGACCCCTTCCTCCTGGGGCCCGCTTCTCGCCCCGAGGCGCTGTTTGACGGCCCCGGAGCCAACAAACGGCCCCTGGAGGTCGAAGCTTGCCAGAAGCCTCCAGTCTCGTGCGCGTCACGACGCGACGGTTTGCGGCGGGGCTTTCTCCATGACCTCCGCCTGTGGATGCAGTGGGGGCCCATGCCAAGAAACATCCTGATTGCCTCCAGGGTGCCCTTGGTTTTTCTGGGTCTCGATGGTTTTGCGATGGAGAGGGCGACGTTCCCACACCAAAAATCAGTGGAAGCCCTGGGGACCCAGTGTTGGGTTTCTTGTGGGCAGTTTCTTGCTCCACTGTATAGATAGGTTCTGGGCCCAACTGTGTTCAGCTTCGCCGCCCTCTGGGGTCCCTGGGCATGGATTCCCCAGGCGGTGGACTTGGATAAATGGCTGCCTCGCACGGGGAGGGCCTGCTCTTTCCCGCCGCCCTCTCCCCCGGACAGGCGCAGGTGACGGCCGAGCTGACATCCCGCGCGGAGGCGCTTCACAGGCTCGGGGCAGCGGGCCAGCGCTCGGAGACTGGCGGGGGTGGTGTACGGAGGATTCTCCCGGGCACGACAGGTGAGGCCTCGGAGGTGGATCGAAACCCCACAGTGCCAGGTCGATTTGCGGTATTGTCCGGGTCTGCGCCCGCTAGGTTTATGTCGGGCCTGTCCCCCTTACGGGGGCAGTTTCGAGGAAAAAATATACACACTAAAAGTCAAAAAATTGTTCAAAAATAGTATGGGGATTATTTTTTGAGTACTTTTTGACCTTCTTGGAGTATTTTGGGGGTTTCTATCAACTGTCGTAGAAAATCCCCCTGTAGGAGGACAGGCCCGACTTAACGCTAGGTCTGATTCCGGGTGTCGTTTTCCTCCGGCGGTTTGCTGCGGGAGGCTCTGCCCGCCCACGGAGGTCGGGCACCCGGAGGGTAGGGTCCGCAGGTCCGGTCGGAACGCCAGCGTGGACACATCCGAGAAGCGACTCCCGGCACCCTGGCCCAGACCCCCATCGCGCCATGGACGGAAGCAGGCAGTGGAAGCTTGCGTGTTTCTCTTATCATTTCTGGGGGGACAAGCACAGACACAAGCACTCGGCGATTCCCCGGAAAATGCAGAGAACATGCGAATTGGAGTGGAAGACGAGAGTCCAGAACATATGAGCCACATGGGGTATCCTGGGAGCTCTGTCTATTTTTTTGTGTGTCCCTAGGCCCTAGGCCCCTTCATGTTTCTGACATTATTACCAAGTTCTGAGGTGTCAATGTCTGGCTCAGACTGAAAATTCTGTCTCGGGATAGGCGTCGAGACACTTGCCGGGCACACGTTCAGAAACAGACATGGCAAGGTCGGGGGCCTGTGCAAGAGGCAGGGAGGAGGGATCTTGTATGGAGGATGATCGAGGATCGTTGTTTCCTACATACGTTTCGTCATGCTTTTTGGGCCTCCGGGCGCTTCTCGCCGCCACGGCGTCAATGATCCCGATTCTTCTCTACAGCGCACCACCAGAACGCTCCCAGGGCAAGTTCTGGAGCCCGAAAGAAGGGAGAGAATGTCCTGGCACGTTGGAGTAGGGAGGGAGAGAGAAGGCAGGATCGACGACGTTGATTTTCTAGGGTGCTGTACGTGCTTTCTTGTGGGATGAGCATTGGAGCGCCCCTTTGGGAGGCCTCCGGAATTTCCAGAGACCACCTATGGAGACGGAGACGAGGGAGGGGGGAAGCAGAGAGGAAGAGAGGAGGGAGGAGGAGCGAGGAAGGACAGTGGACAGCGCCTTAGGGACAAGAGCCGTCAGACGGGACATGGCCCTGACTCACACGTATCCGCCTGCCCACCGACTGGGCAGGCGGCTTGGAGGGGTGGCGCAAGGCCCTCGGATGGCACCGAGCATGCAGATCGCCTCGCAGCGTAGCTGCCCTGATACGCCTGCTTTGAAACGCAACGCGTGCCGTGTTCAACGACGACGACGACCCGATGCGTCCGGCGTCGTCAGACACCGCCCTCCCCCTTGCTGTGTCTCCTCGCCGTCCGACGAACAGTTTTGTCGCGGGCGGCGATGTCCCGAAACCGTTGTCGCTGGCACCCAAGACGGCCCAGGATGGCCCGATGGAGCCCGAACGGCCCTGGATGGCACAGACCCCCCCAGGAAAACACCGCGGAAACATTGTGCAGATCCAAAGCGGCCCCATGCTCCTCGTCGTTATCACCTTGATCGTTTCTCCAGGCATTTATTCGACGCCTTCTCTGCGAGCGCCGTGCGGGTACCTTGTAGATATGATTGTGTAGCATGTTGATGTTGTTTGGTGTGCTCATGGACGTGTAGAAGGTATTGGATGTTCCGCTCAGGTTTTTGAAAGAAACAAAAAGACAGGGTTTGCTATTCATCGATCGCCGACCTCGCTCCCCGAGATGGATTCACTACAAAACAAGTTTTGTTCGAGAGGCGCCTGGCTGATATTTTCAAGCGGACGGACTGGAACGGGAGCGCTAAGGAAATGATGATCGCAACGCTCATAAAAATGGGCATGCAACGGGTCCAGAAGGTCGTCTTCGATGGGCCACCAGATGGAACCTCGGAGAATATCTACAACGTCATAGGCAAGAACATGGAAGCTGCCAAGGTTGATGCATCGAGGCCCCTGGAAGGAAACCAGGATTCGAGGGTCGAAGATTTGTTCAAGGAGATGGTGGTGCTCTGCTTCAAAATCAGGCATGAGGGCGACGAAAAGATTGCCAGGGAGGCCGCAGGCATGGGCAAGGGCCTTTTCGACTTGTGACAGCCAGCCGGCGCAAGGAATCGGGTCCCAATGAATGAGGCAACGGCGTTTGCGCTGTTGGCCGCGTCATTCGCGTCGGAACCGGGAAATCCAAGCACGCATGCATAAATGTCGAGGCTTCAGACGACTTGTATACGGAGGGGGCCGGGCCTCCAGGAGACGGCGAAGGAGGCGTTGGCTCGGCCCACCAGGGGCTGCGGGCCAGAGTCAGGGAGGAGAAGACGTCGGATGCGAGCACCGAGAAGAAACGCCTCATCATGGAGAATAATAATAATGCCTCTTGCATGTATCCCAGCGTCGCCCAGCTTCGTTTGGGGGCGGCAGACGGTGCGGCATCGGCGGAATGGCTTCAAACAAAATGTGTGATTGATACTGGGACGAACGAGCAAGTGCTGCTCTCATGTTTTCGTTTGGCGTACGCTTTCGTGGCAATGCTGGATGCCTTGGCGTTCACCATTCTCCCCTCGGGCTATCTCTCGCTTGCGTGGTTCCCCTTCGTCCCCTCCTGCTGGGTGAGGGCTGCATCTTCGCTGTCATGGCTTTTACCTCCACCGCGATGGCAACCGACGGCCCGTTCAGGAAGAAGGACCTCTACTGGGATGGGGGTCGGGTTCGTGTTCGCCGCCAGCATGGTGATCGAGATCGTGATGTTCCTCTGCGTCCCCAAGACCATCGCCGTGCAGATTTGCTTCTTAATCTTGTTGGCCAAGTACGTCGTTCTCCTCGGCATCCTGACAACGCTGGCAAACCAGCGCGCGACTGCATTCAGAAGGTTTGGAGGCTGTGCCACCTCCAGGATTCAATGGGTCCCGCCGATTCTGTGCCATTCGCTCCACAAACGCGGCGCGCGCCTGCTGCTAACCTGCCCATGCCACGTTGGGGCTGTATTGGCAACGCCACCGTATGCGGGAGACCTGCTCATCGTAAATTCATCATTCCACGGTTGGCTCTGCGAGTCAAAGAAGGACCAAGACATCTGCGTCCCGATTGATAACGACTCCAGTGTGGGTGGTGGCGAGCCTGGCCGTTGTGGTCAGCCTCGTCCTCAGCCTCGAGCCGTAGTTCACCCATGCGGTGTCGAGGCTCCGGGCCATTGGGGGCGCGCTTCTCTTGCGAGCTCGCGGAACACGTTGGAAGAATCCTTGGGCGCAACCAGGAGCGCCAAAATGAGAGGAGATGGCGAATCCACCCGCATGGTCGGATTCGCAAGCAGAGTCGGCGCCAATATTTCAGACCAGACATCGAATAAGCTGCCGACTGACACCCGTGAGCCGCTCATCGCTGTGGACATCGCTGCAGCGACGATCTGCATGGCGTTTTCCTCATGCTGGATATCTCCCCCTGCGTGGGCCACGGGGAAGTTCGCGACAGGCTCAAATGCCGCGAAGGTATCCGGGTCGCAGAATCAGCGGGCTCTCTCATCTGAAGTGCTGCGGCAGGTGAGGACGATATCTAATCAATTCAATGCGCTCGGATCGGTCGACTCCGAGTTCGCCTTGGCGATCCACGTGCGAAAGGCTTCGGCTGCTAGCGCTGTTGCGTTGCGTCCCCCTTCAGAGGTCGAGTTCCGCAATCGCATCTCCGATGCATCTCCGGGGCAGGTCGGGGGTGGCGCTTCAGCGAGGTTGGATATTGCGTTGTCGCAGGCCAGTAATGTCCTGGTCAACGTCATCCCCGAAACGGTGGATTCGATCTGGCAGGAGCTCGACGAGCACACTCCCTTGACGGAGAATCATTCGGCCGCCGCAGACCTGGAGGTCATGTCCGATGCTGCCGATGTCATGTTCGCCGGCAGCAAGACGGCGACACGGGGCATTCGTTCCGAACCGAAGCGTCGCCTGGCAGCAACAGACATCGACTCGCTGCTGATTGGTGGACTGGTCGTCGTAGTTCCGCGCCGCGCTTAGGAGCGTGCAAAGGCCAGCTTCGGCCAGCTCTCAGGGAACATCAAAACGTTCGCAGTGACGTCGCTGACTACCCTGCCGTTGTCGACAAAGTGCTCGGTCACGCTGCCGACGATGGCAACGGGCGCGGTGGTGGCAAATATCGAGGAACAGCTCAAGAAGACGAAGGACCCTTTTTGCTCGACAGAACAGAATCCCCAGGAGACGACTTCGACCGCCGCTCCACAAGCTTTTCCAAGGTGGTCAAGAAATATAGGGCGCCCTGCCTACTGGAGGCCACGTGCGTAACCTCTTTCCTCAGGACTCCCGTTCGGACGCACTCAAGGATGTCCATGCTACGCAACGCTTCGCACGAAGAGAACGACATGGTGCCCGAGAGGAAGGGGGATTCCAACACGTGGAACGTCGGCTACGGCAAAGCCTTTATCTTGCTCCCGAATCGGGGAGGGTAGAGGGGTCAAACCCCTCCTGCGACGGAGGACGGGGAGTTCGAGATCGCAGGGGCGGTCAACCTTGACGAGGACGAGGAGGAGGAAGAGGCCGCGACCGAGACAACCAGGAAGGTCGGCATCTCTGGCATCGTCAAGGGCCCGGGGGTGCTCGTGCTTGCGAGCATGCCCGCCGTCTAGTTCAGCGGGGCCACATGTGCCCCAGTGGCGAACACCGCGTCGCAGCTGAAACTGCTGACACACCAGTCCAGCCGGGTGCGTAAACGCACCCGGCTGGACTGGTGTGCTTCACGTCGGCAATTAACCACTGCGGAAATGTGTGTTTCGGCGCCGACCGTCGAGATCACCCTCGCCGTCGTGCCCGCGCCCACAGGAGAGA